TGGAGAACTAAGGTGCATCTTATTCAGGCCACGGTCTATCCAATTACTTGTTATGCATTTGAGAGTTGGACAGTGAATAAGAATGACAGAAAAAGAATTGATGTCTTTGAGCTGTGGTGTTGGAGAAGAGCACTGAACATCCCATGGATGGTCAAGAGAACAAATATGTTTGGGAGAGGGTACAGTCGGCATGTTCTATGGAGCAAATGATGGGGCTTCACTTCACATACTTTGGACATGTTGCTAGGAGGGGCTACTCCTTGAAGGACATGATACTGGGAAGAATGGAGAGTCGGCAAGGAAGAGGAAGACCCTCAACCAGATAGACTGACACATTGAGTGCTGCAATGGGCTATTGTGTGTCAGGAATTATGAGGATGGCACAGGCTAGAACAGAGTTCAAATTTTGTTCATAGGGTCGTTATGAGTCGTACTCAACTTGAAGGCACCTGACAATAACAAGTACTAAGGGTGTTGATTGTAGATCCATGTAAGACAAAATAATTGATAGTTTCATTCTTTTCTCCATCTGATGTTCTACACTTGATGTCTTATCATGATGTTATCTATTGGCCCAGGAGTGAAGATTTTTATTTACTTGATGTTGAAATGTAATCCAGTTGGAGTCTTTGACCTTCTGTAGCATTTCAAGTTCTCCTTACTATCAGCAAGCAGCATTGTTTAAACTGCATAATACAGGTTGCTGATGTGTTCATCAGATTCTGATGTCACAGTCGTCTTCATAAAAGCCATCCAGTTTCTTGTACGACATGCTCGGAATAAAGACTTAATAGGAATGGAGAAAGAACAGAATCCTGAAGCACATCATTCTTGATTTTAAACGATGCAGTGCTTGCTTACTCTGTTCAGACAAGATCTTCTTAGTGTAGGTGAATGTTTCACATGAACAAAATTAAGTATTCTGGGATTTCTAGAGACAGTATTACATTCTATTATATTCTTATATAGGGAGCTCTGGTGGCCTAGTGGTAAGAATCTGCACTGTAATCCCAAAGGCAGGCAGTTCAAATTCACCAGCGGTTCCACAGGAGAAGGATCTTCTCCTGTGTCATTTACAGCATCTGAAAAACCTGCTGGAGGGTCAGCTCTGGGTCAGTTCCAACCCAAAAGCACAAAATAACAACAAACACAACAGACACAGAGCAGGGGAGAGCGGGGGGGAAAAAAACCCGACTTATCCTGTGTCCACCCTGTATTTTAAGAGGTCTTATAAAGTAGGTTTTGGGGTTCGTCTTTTAATCAACTTTTGTTTATTAAAAAATTAAGTTTATTTTATATCATCAGTAAGTAGGTATCTTACCATATATTTGCTGCATAGTGAATGTAGAGAATGAATCATGTTGGCAAGAAGAGAGTACTGGCTTACTATGGTCTTGTTTGCTTCCTGACTGCAACAGAGCAACTAAATGAAGACTTTCCAGAGGGGAGATATTTGAGCACAGCATGTTTTATAGTAACCAATGTTTATAACACTAACAAGAACAGTTGGCATGTTGCTGTTATTGTTAATGTTAGGTGACATCGAGTTGAGTACAACTCACAGTAAGATCTATAAACAAGAGACCTGAACCCCATTCTACACTGTGCCATCCTCATACTTCCTGACACACTAGAGCCCATTGCAGCAGTCATTTTGTCATTCTACTTGGTCAGGGGTCTTCCTCTCCTTCACTGACACTCCACTCTTCCTAGCATCATGTCCCTATCCAAGGAATAGCCCCTCCTAACAACATGCTTAAAGTATGTGAGGCTAAGTCTCATCATTTGTGCCTCCAAAAAGCACTGAGGCTACACCCTCTCCAAGATATATTTGTTCGTTCTATTGGCTGTCCATGGGATGTTCAGTGCTCTTCTCCAACACCACAGCTCAAAGGAGTCAATTCTTCTTCTGTCATTCATTGTTCAGCAATTAGATACACTGCAAGTGATCAGAAAACTTGGCCTGAAAGGATTTACAAATCATGACTAATGACCAACAATCTGAAAGCATGTGGTCCGAATCTACCAGTTGTTCCACAGAAGGGAGATGGTCAGTCTCTTCCCATGTGATTTACAGCTTCTGAAAACCTGATTAAAAGGCTCAACTATGTGTTGGTTCCTAAACAACTGTATGTAACAAAACAACAGTTTTGCTTAACACAGGAGTCCTCAGTGTGTTTACAGCTAACAACTCTCTAATTTTTTATGGTGGAGCACCAAGTGATCTAAGAATTGTTATGGACTGAATTCTACTTTCTCAACTTATATTGACACCATAATCCACGTTTATATGGACTGTAACTTAATTCTGGAAATAAGAATTTCCTTTTGTTATGTTAATGGATCATAGTGAAGTTAGAATAGGCCTAAAACTGGTCACTTAAAGAAGTCATGAGAAATACATACATTCTATTACAGCATGGACTCCCACTTCTTTGAATGATGACTTGCATCCTGTCTTACTAGAACTTCCACATCAAATACTACAATGAGGGTGGCTTTGAGGAAACAAATTTAGTGTCTTACTGTTCCAGAGGCTAAAAGTCTAAATTAGGTCTCTGCTATGTTGGTTCCCACGGGACTCTCTCCTAGTTTCTGGCAACTGTCAGCAATTCTTGCTGTTCCTTTGCTGCTTTGTAGATGCATCTGCCTCCACCGCAGTGTCTCTTGGTTTATCAGTATTTTTCCTTTTGTAATTGAGATATTTCACTCAGGATAATGTCTTCCAGATTCATCTATATTGCTTAGTCTCTTACAAGTTCATTGTTTTTCTGTGCTCTGTAATATTCCATTGTGTATATGTACCACAGTTATTCTATCCATTTGTTTGTTGATGGGCCCTTGAAATGCTTCCATCTCTTCATTGTTGTGAATAATGCTACAATAAACATGAGTGTGCATACATCTATTTGTGTCATGGCTAAAGCTATCATAATAGCATCTACAAAAATTACTAGTAAGTAAAATATTTTTCTTCTAGCCTGATTTTAATTCTATAGCCTATAAAAAACAAAACATAGGTCTTTATCTTAGAGTAAGACACTAGACAAATATTAGTTTGTTTTAGTTACTATAGAGTTATCAATTTCAACAGTCCTGAAATATCTTATTATCAGACAAGATACACCAACACTAAAGAAATTACTGTTGCTATGTACAGTCAAGTTGGAAACATCTCATAGTTGATTCTCCAGTAGGCTTTCAGAGGCAGTAAATCACATGGGGAAAGAATGGCCATCTTTCTCAGGAGAAGCAACTGGTGGATTTAAACCATATGCCTTTGAGATGTCAGCACAACTTCTTACCACAAAACTATAATAGTTCCTTTAAAAATTATTAGTATTTCTTAAAGAGAGTAGATATTACATTCTATTATTTTATAATTTGTTGCTTATTATGATATATAAATGTTATTCAATTTTTTAAAAAATAAGGACTTCAATATCATCAGACCAGAGATCAATTCTAGATTTGCTATTCATGAGATACTTGACCTTGGATTAATCACTAAATCTATTTAACCTTTCTTTGTAAAATGAGAATGAAACCTCCCTTATATCAAAGAGATTTAAATAAGCTCTCTGAAGCAACACATGATAGTGGTTAGGAATGTAGACCCTAGGTATATATTCAGCCACCTACTAGGGATATGATCACAGATTAAATATATAATAAATTTATTTCTGCCTCCTCACATGTGAACTGGAGAAAATAGCAGTAGTCACTATATCATAGTGATTCTATATGAAGTAAATTAGTTATTACTTGTAAAGTGCTTAAAACAGTGTTTTAGTTGCTGTTGTTGATGACAGGTGCCACTGAGTCAAGTACAACTCATATTGACCCCATAAACAGCCAACCTGAATCCTGACCTGTCCTGTGCCATCCTCATCATCTCTGACACACTAGAGCTCACTGAAGTCACTATATCAATCCATCTCGTTAGAGGTCTTCCTGTCTTTCACTTATCCTACAGCCTTCCAAACAGGATAGCCCTTTTTAAGGAAAGGCTTCACCTCACTACATGTTCAAAATATGAAAGACAAAGTTACTATATCTTTGCTTCCAAGATGTGCACTCTGGTTTCACTTTTTCAAGACATATCCTGTTTGTTCTTTTGGCAATCCACGGGATATTCAGTACTCCTCTACAACACCACAATTCCAATGATCAAAGACCAGAGGAACTGTGTGAGGGCATCCAAGACATCACCCATGAAGAGAGCAAAAGGTCATTGCAAAGAAGGAAGAGAAAGAAAAAGCCAAAATGGAAGTCAGAAGAGATTATGAAAATTGGCATCAGAGAACAGAGAACTCAAGACAGAAGATGAGATGGTGAAGTAAAAGAGCTGAACAGAAGATTTCAAAGAACAGTTTGAGAAGATAGAGCAAAACATTATAATGAAATGTACAAAGAGCTGGAGTCGAAGAATAAAAATTTAAGAACTTACTCGGCATTTTTCAAGCTGAAAAAACTGAAAAATAAATTCAAGCCTCAAGTTATAATACTAAGCAATGCTATCAGCACAATCTTGAATGATCCAGGAAGCATCAAAAGAAGAGGGAAGGAATACACAGCATCTCTGCACCAAAAAGAATTCGCTGACACTGAGAAATTTTAGGAAGTACATATGAACAAGAGCCAATGGTGATGAAAGAAGTACGAGCTGTACTAAAAATACTGGCAAAAAATAAGGCCCCAGGAATTGCTGGAATACCATTTAACATGTTTCAACTAACAGACACAGCCCTGGATGTCCTCACCAGTATATGCCAGGATATGTGGAGGACAGTTGCTTGACTGACTCATTGGAAGAAGTCCATATCTGTCCCCATTCCCAAGAAAGGTGATCCAACACAGTGTAGAAATTATCAAACAATATGAATATCTCATGTAATAAGCAGTGATAGTTACCTAGTATTTACTATACACATTATTATTTTAATAAATGTGTATCAGGTATCCTAGAGGTTACTGTTATTACTTTTCATGGTTATTACCTTGAATCTCATGGTAGGCCAAGCTGATTTTCTTTAAGTAAGACACTGCAATTAAGTCAAATGTTCTCATTGTCGCTTCCGTTCCTAACTGAGTGACATTAAATACTAGAATTGTATCTTCTTCCTTCTGTTGTTTGGTAAATTCCAAAATCACCTGAAAGAATCAGCATAACCAATTAAAAAATGACAAGTAGTCTGAATCATACTTAAAGTAACAAAAACAAACCCTGGAGAAACTGTGGAGAGATTAGAACTCTCATACACTGTTAATGGGAATGTAAAATGTTGCAAACACTACTGAAAGCTATTTGGTGCTATCTTAGAAAATTGGGAAAAGAAATACCATTTGATCCAGAAAGCCCACCACTAGAAATTTATCCCAAAGAAATAAAAGTTGTAACACAGAGAGATATACACCCATGTTGATTCCAGCATTATTTACAATGGCAAAGGGAAAAAGCATATAAGAAACAAAACTTCTGAACCCCATTATAAACTTCCAGAACCACAGAACATACATTTCCCAAACAAATATTATGCAGCACATATACCTTTAATTCTAAAACACAAAGAACTCTCAATAACAAAGATGAAAAATACCAGAAATAATGGTCAAAAAAATGGACCAACAAATGAACAATAAAATGATTTTAAACTTTGAAAGGAATTAATATTTAAATAAATCCATTTAAAGCATGTGATTACATTTCTCAGTAAAGTACCAACTATTCTATCAGCTTTAACTGAAAAACATTTCATTTTCTTGAAATTTGGGGTTAAGCGTGGTTTTTTGGGGGGGTAGGAGGGAGATGAAGTACCTACATTTTTAATATACTTAATGTTTGGATCTAATATGAGTTCCCAAGAATAACAGTAATAGGAACATTAATATTTATGAATAAAACAAATATACATCTACCTCTTTAATTTCAAACTTGAGCAGAAGATTAATGAGCTCTTCATTTGGGGGCTCCACAGCTTTTTTCAGTTCTGACCCTTTTATACTTTTACTAGGCTGTGAGTCTCCATCTTCAGCATCAAAATATTCATCCTCAGACTCTAAAGAAAGAAGATATTCATTTGACCTGAGAACTATGTCCATGGAAAAATGTACTCAAATTTAAATCACTCAAAAGTAAAGTTCATTCTTAGCCATAAGCCTTCCTATTCAGAATCAGAATAGCTTCAGTGGTTTCAAGACCAAAAGATTTATGAAATAATCTTATTAAAAAGATAATATTGTAATTTTTTTCTACAACTATACCAATGGTTTTCCTTTTAAGTTTATTCATTAAATCATCAGTAAAATATTTTAGGGGCACCAGGTACCATGTGGCATGCAATGTTAGCCACTAACATCATAGTGACAGGAAAGGCAGGTCCTTTTCCTTTTATATTATCTTTCAAATTACAAGAGCTCAGTCAGGTCAGAGCTACAGAAAACCATAAGGTACAGAGTAGAGTAACTAAAGCAGTTCGCTTAAACACTGTAAACCACAAGAAAACCCCTTGATTCAAGTGACGAAGAAATATGAGTTAAAAGGCTAACTTTATACCACTTTCAGAATTCCTTTATTTTCTGAAAATATTATCATAAGCCAATGTACAACCTTGGTTTAGTGGAGAAAGTACACTTTACATTCTTTACCTGATTCTATTCCATCTAGTAACAGGGAGGTTTCAAGCAGACCTTTTGTGCTATCTGAAATCACAGGGATTGAGGATATCTAGAAAATAATAGAAACACTTTTTGTAACATACTGATTTAGCAAGAGTAATGTGCATAAACAAGAGAAAGACCTAAAGAACAATTGAGTATTATTTCTTTTTAATAGAAAGGTATCCACACAAAATAGGTAAATCTTAAAAAAATTATATAATGTAACGCAATAATTAATAATATAGTTGGTTGGAATTTATAAACTAATAAGACCACCAACTGCATTTATAAGGAAAAAACTATTTCTAACTCTAAAAGGTAAGTCTACTTACATTACTTAGTTGCTATCTATTAAAATCGGAAAGCAAAACCTTAGTACAGGTCCCTGGAAAATAATAATATTAACTGATTCTGATTTCATTTCAAAAGTAAAGAGCTAGTCAATATTGATTTTCTACTGTAAAGATCAATTATAATTAAAAGGAGCTAGTCTCATAAACAAAGAAATATACCAATTATTTTATTTACAATATTTTTTTTAAAATTCCCATTTCTAGTTCTATTTAAAATGTTTAATGAATCTGAAAGACATTTTCATTTCATTAGTGTAGTTTTGTTTCCATCATTTTAAATACTTGCCCTAAAACAGATTTTCTACCACCACTCTCAAACAGTAGTGGCAAAATAGCCTACAATCTATATTTATTCCATGCCATTTGCAGTTTTTCACAGAATCAACAAAATAAACATTAAATTTTAAAAGTGCAACAAATAAATTGGCCCTTAAAAATAATGAAAATCAAAAGAGTGCATACAAAGATGAAACAAAACTTACCATAATACAAATGTACAGAGATTCAGCACTTTATTATGTGCATTTACCTGTTTCTCTGGAGACTCTGCAGGTGATTTCTGTGGCAAGGATATACTGTTAATCAAACACAGCACATCTTTCATCTTCTGGTCAGAAATTCTCACATGCATCAAAGGAAGTCCTCCTGAAACTTTAAATCTAAGAATAAAATCCAACTGTAAGGTTATAAGGTCTAGATTCTCTACATTAAAAAGGCAGAGAAGGAGTCAGAGAAGAGACGGGATAGTGGAGTCAAAGATAGCACTTTGAAACTATTTTAATCTAATTACATCAATGGCTGCTTCAGTGACCACTGTCTGAATATGGGAAGCTTTATATAAACCAAGTTTCTAGATAATTTCAATATTGTTTCAAAGGAATGATACTTGTGAAAGTATTTCCTAAGACAAGTCTATGGCTTTTAAAAGCAGAAATACTATGCATACTTTAACAATTTCCTTCTATTTAAAACGTACCACAATAAACATTAGAGAGAAAACTACTATTTTGCTTCTCATTTTTTTTCTTTATGGCACAGTCTTCATTTGACATATGTCTATTTGGTTATTTTCTTGTCTCCTCTGATTAAAATGTTATTTCATTTCCATGAGAACATATGTCTGGTTTACCCACTGATCAATGGCTGATGTGCTTTTGCTAGTTGCTTACTTTGAGTACAAATGCCTAAAGTTCGTATGCCTAAACAGCCCTCTGTTGCTCATAAGGTGGTGTTGTTGTTGTTCCTATTTATCTTTGGCTTCCTAACTAGTTGTGAAAAGTTCAAATGACAGATGCCTAACCTCTCTGTAGTGCCCTTTCTATAATGCATAAATCACCAATGCACTAAAGTACAAATGACTGAATTTTCTGCAAGACTACTCTGCAAACTTAAAGGCACCATAAAAATATAAAATATCCTTTTATTATTTCTAAAACATTATGGACAATTTAGAGCATCATAAAGAAAAAAAACTAAAAAGCTGGACATAAAATACTGGCTTATCAGATAACAAAGAGAGGTGAAAGATGGGAAATAAATGAAAGAAGTCCTATATTTATCCCAATTAACTGGCTTAGGAGTGTCAAAGTGTATGAGTTCAGTAAAGGTACAGCATTAAATGTCTATATTAAAAAAGAAAGGTGGTCTCAAATCAGTAGCTTCCATTTCTACATTAAGAAACAAGATTTTAAAAAGTGAATGATCCTCAAAGCAAGCCAAAGTTGTGTAAATACTAGAATGTAAATAAATAAAAGACACATAACAGGAAATAATTGAACAAAAAGTGAGTTCTTTCCAAAGAACAATAAAAAGTGCAAAAGCTCTAACTAGACTAATCAGAAAAGAGAAGAAGCATATATTATTATATAAAATATGCATATATTATTATGGGTAAAAAAAGTAGCATCATCACAGATTTTACATCTATTTTTAAAATATAAGGAAATACAGCAAACATTATACTAATAAATCCAACAACTAAGATATTCCTCAAGAGAATACAAGTTATCAAAAATATCTTTTTTTAAAAAGGTAGCCTAAATAGCCTATCTATCATTATTAAATAAATTCAGTTTTGGTTTTAAAATCTTCTCACATGCACACAAAAATCAACAGGCCTAGAATTTTGCCTTATGTTTAAGGAAAAAATTGTATCAATTTTATACACTGTCCTTCAGCAAACTCATTTTATGAGAACAACATTACCTTTATACCTGATCCACTATATACCCTGACTCTTAAGAGTAGTATAGTTCAGGATCTCTCATGAATAGATAAGTAAAACTTTGTCACAAAGTTTTATCAAATAGAATCCAACAATAAAATATATCATCACAGAATGATGCAATAATACAAGGGTGGTTTCATATCCACCAGGTAAAGGCTGTCAGTTAGCTACTGATAGAGTCTACATGGATGAACCTCAAATTAATCATGCTAAGTGGAAGAAGTCAAACAAACAAACAAACAAAAAATCTGTCTATGTAACTGCAGACAATTCTAACTAATCTCTAACATCAGAAAGTAGATTAATGACTGTCAGGGAGGGGGTCAGTGAGGAAGGAAGGTGGGGGGCATGGTGGGGGCACAGAAAGTAGTCAGAGTTGAAGACTGTTCATGATCTTGACTGTGGTAACAGTTTTTCTTTTTAAAGTAGTATAAACATTTCACAAGTTATCCACTAAAATTTAAAATTCCATTCCAGTTTATTATTCTGAGATACTTTTCAACGCTTTCTTAGCTTTATGTCAGGTTGTGAAGATTGTATTCTATTGCTACTTAAGCTTAGATTATCATTTTTAGTAACATTAACAACCAATTTTTGTAGTATGAGTCTGAATAATCATGAAATAAGCCTAACAATATGTAATTAAGACAGTTTCCTTGAAAAAAATATTACTTTTTACAGCATTAAATAGTCATAATTTTTCCTACAGAAATAGATCTTCGCTTTCTTAAAAACCAATATAAATGCCTTTCATGCTCTTGATTTTTCTGGAGGTACAAAAGAAACTCATACATTACCTAGCCATTCTAATGTCTTTTTCCACCATTGCCTTGGCCAATTCAACATGAATGTCCATAGGTTGTAATATATGCATAGTGGATGGATGTTGAAATCGACACTTTTTCCAGTTTTCCTCTTTAAAAAAATAAAATATGGACTGATTTTTCAAAAATTATCAAGTAATTAGCAGAAAACTACTGCATGTTATAGGAAATCATTAACAAGCAGATTCACTCATTTTCACTTTCTTCAGCATGCAAGTCAAATGACCTTCATTTTTTAACAGATTGAAAAGAGTCTGAAAGACTGATATTTGAAGAATGATCATTGATAATACTGTGTATCAAACCAAGCATTTAAGAAATCCATAAATTAATTAAGTTGATTTCAGAATTATCAATCAAGGTAGGTGGTTACAGTGAAAAGGGAGGAAGGGATTAAGTTAGAAGAAAAGAAATGTATGGCAGAGGTAAAAAGAAATTCATCAGGTTCCTAAGCACAAGAAGAGAGCTCAAGGAGAATAGTCACAGGAAGTTGCACTGATGGCAGCACCATCCTAGTGGTTTGAGCTGCTCTGAGGGAGAAAGTGGGAAATCTCCTCTTATTCAATTTACAGCCTCCAAAAGCCTGCTGGAGGATCAGCTCTGAGTTAATTCCAACTAGATGGCAGTAAGTTTTCAGTTTTTAGGCTTCAAGAACAATCATATATATACTTAGCACCTAATTCCAAAGTAAAAAATTAGTTTAACAAGCAAGATTATGTCAAAAAGTGTAATCATTTTCCCTTCAAGTAAAATTAGATAGATTTCCCAATGGCTAATAAAGTCTTAGGCTGATCTTTACAGATGGTAATGACTAAACATCTTTTATCACTTTTCATTCCTAAGTGCATAAAAATGAAGTCACTTTAAAATGGTCTGTATAAAATACTTCTTTGCAAGGAATTAATGGGCTCCTAATACATCAAAACTAAGCATTAAATGTTTAAAACCAGAAACATATATTTACATGTTCATTAAATACTTATTGCTTCTAAAAATAAAAGAGGCATACAGAACCAGCAGTGTATAGTTAAGCAGTAAAACACAGTGTACGTACTACTAATGAAATAAAGACTAGGCTCTCGTGGCCTCTAGTGGGTAGGGAGCTGAACGGACAACCCAAAGATAGGTGACAAAAGAAAGATAGGCAATTTCCTCTCATGTGATTTACAGATAGCCTCTGAAAACCTGATGGAGGGTCACCTTTGAGTCAGTTACAACTCAATGACACATAACAATACAGCAAAACTATTAAGAACTAAGATAGCAAAGGAAAAAAAAATTGAGACACCCTAAAACACTGGACGGGGGACTATGAGAGTATCCTATGCCAAGCACTATCTATTTGGCATTCTACTTTTTTTTTTTTCTAATAGTATTAGCAACAATATGCTTGAACAAATCAGAATTTGTGGGGATAGCACAGGACAGAGCAAGATTCAGATCAGGTCACTATGAGTTGTAGTTGACTCAATGGCACCTAGTAACAAAAACAACATTATAAAAAGACAGTCATGACTGAACTTGATGGTGCTAAGTATTTTAAGATGAATAAGCAAAATTTTACCTTCTTTATAATGGGGGCAATAACTTCAATTGATAGGTTTCCGTTTAATTTTCTTAATGACCAACTGGATATGTGTACAAAATGACTGCCGATTTCTGTGTTGCCTGTCAAGGGAATCTGCCATTCTAATCAGCTACAAAGAAAAGAAGAGCAATTTCTCCCTGCAAAGCTTTAATGCTCAGTAACCTACTGGAGTGATAGGGAGCTCTGGTAGATTAGTGGTAAGAAACTGTGCTGCAACCCCAGAGGTATGCAGTTAGAATCCATCACCCACTCCGTGGAAGAAGGTGGGCAATCTTCTCCCATACGAGAGGGTCCCTTTGAAAATTAACTCCCTTTGAAAATTCACGGGAGGGTCAGCTATGGGTCAGTTCCAACTTGACAGCAATGAGTGAGTTGAGTACTCAACATAATCTCAAGATCCTAAACACTGAGCAACAGTTTACCTGCTCTCGCAAAGAGTAGCTGTACATTTTTAATTTCCACATCAAACTTGTCATATGCCTTATCCATGATTTCTTCTAGAGATGAATTGGCAGTTTGCTGCAAACCTTGGTCTTTACTGTTGAGCTGCAGAAAGAAAAATTTTCTAATTTCATAACAGAAAAAAAAAAATAAACAGATCAACATATTTCATTCTGGCACCTTTAAAGTTCAATAAATATGGAAACTTTCATTCATTAATTAATTTTTTTATACTTATTTGTAAACATTTTATAAGGAGTACAATGTCTCAGCTTATATTTGATGCAGAGTTGTTTGGTACATTTTAATAATTGAGCAATTGCTCAATACTCTATCATAATCAGCCCTTTTGGACAAGCAACTCGTCCTCTTCTTCACTCTCAGAAGTTTTTGACTCTCATAGTTTAACTCCCATACTAATCTTAACCAGTTCATTTTTGTGCACAGCACTTTTGTGACTTTCTTGCACTACATCACGAGAAAAACTGTTGCTGTTGTTAAGTACGACTGAATCAGTTATAACTCACAGCAACCCTACATACAACAGAACACACATACAGTGCAGCCTCACAATGTTTGAGCCCTGGCTACAGACACTATCAGTGCATGCGGGCCTCTTCTTTTTTACTATTTTAGTAAACATGATGTCCTGCTCCAAGAACTGGATTCTCCTGATAACACACCACAAGTCTGTGAAAAGTCTTGTGTTCTTCCCATCTAAGGAACATTTTTATTGTAACCTCTTCCAAGACAGATTTGTTCACTCTTCTGTCTGTCCATGCTATAGTCAATACTCTCTACCATCACTATCATTAAAATGTACAAATTCTGCTTCCGTCTTTTTTTTCCCATTTTCCTTCTTCCCTAAGCATATGTTTTTCTTGTTCTGTTGAATACCACCACTGAGTCAGAACTGACACACAGCTGACCCTGTCTATGATCAGGTTTTCATAGACAACAATCACATGGTTGCTCATCTTCCCATGGAGCAGCTGGGGGATTCAAATTGCAGGTCTTTGGGATTGCAGCACAGCTTTGGCCAGACCCATCTTAGTCTTCAAAGTGGTATCTTTGGTTTTTAGTACTTTAAAGACTTCTTTATCCGGCAAATTTATCCAATGCAATAAATACATTATTTGGTTTCTTGATTATTACTTCCTTGGGCACTAAATGTTGATCCAAGTAACAGTAAATTCCTGACAACTTCAACCTTCATTATCACAATGTTTGTTCTTAATGGTGATATGCAACCAAGGCTTCTGACTGGTTCTCTCCTGGTTCAGTCCTAGCTGACTGAACAAATCAAAACACCTAAATTTGTATATGTAGACGTACTAGAACAATTAAGTTGAACTGGAAAAAATAATGGGTCAGGTGCCTGCTAAAAAGATAATCTCCCTCCAAGAAAACAAGGGCAACATGTATGTTGTACAAGGACTAAATCTCTTGACCTATAGAGTCAAAGACAAACATGCCTCATTTAAAGATGATGACCAACCACAATGCTTTGAATATATGTCATTCTTCAAATTTCAGCCAATAATCCAGTCTCATGAATTAGATTCCTTAAAGGGTTCACTACAATTCTAACTAACTTTCTGTTTCAGAGCTTGGATGCATCATTGTTCTCATCCCAGGTGCCATTCTTAAATGCCCACATTTGACAAATTCAGGTCTACTCTGAATCCACTGTAGACATTGCAAACCCCGGATGTAATTTATATTGAAAACTGCAGTCTTTGTTCTTCATCAGGAAATACTTCAATTTCTCTTCATTTTGAGCAAGTACTAACATAATTTGGTGGTAGATTTCAGATCTAACCTTGACTTCTCTTTTTATCTGTCCCAAGGGAAGGAAGAACTAGATTTTATTAAATCTTCAACTTCTTCTGAGGCTGGCATTGCTAAGATATTTAACACTCAAAATCTTAGGATTCTGTTTTTCAATTTGGTCACTGGCACTGGTTTAATAAATATAACTCATACATGTTTACAATCTTCTGTTGTCAAAATATACAGTTAAACTCTAAAAACTGAAAAAAAAAAAAATAAGGAGAAGTGTTGTTTGCAACTAGAAGATAGTAGTAATCCAGTTCTTGGTGTCAATCACCCACCATCACAGAAATGATTTGCATAACCTTAAAAAGACAGCGACAGAGTAGATGTAACACATTTACTCTAAGCTGCTTGTACCATCAGAACACAACACTGTCTGCTCCTGTACCATCCTAACAATAGCTGAGCCCACTTTTGCAGTCATTCTAGCAATCTTTGTCATGGAGGGATTTTCTCTTATCCAGACTTTACTAAGCATGATGTCCTATTCTTTTCTGCTAACATGTCCAAAGAACCTGAGACGGTTATCTTCCCTTCCAAGGAGTATTTCAGTTGTATTTCTTCCAAATATATTTTTAGTTCTCCTGGCAGCTTACGGTATATTCAATATTCTTTGCCAATAGCACATATTAGTACCTATTCAGTCCTCCTTATTCACCTGCCTGGCTTTGCATACATTTGAAGCCACTAAAAACACCCTAGCTTTGATCAGTCCTCCTGGTGACATCTTAGCTTTTAACACTTTCAAGAACAGTTCTTCACAGTGGATCTACCCAATGCAAATATGTCAAACTTATTGACATTTATATCTAGACTTGGGGGAAAGCTCATGAGAAATAAGCTCAGTTTAGTTTAAATAAATTCTGAAGGGGAAAACAGCAAATTATCAAATAACAACCTATCAAGCTGGCCAAAGATAGGCAGACAGAAAGGAATATATACCTACCTGAAATGTACCAAAATCTAAAATGAGAAGATCTGAATTTTCATGGTAGAAGCCAGTCTGTGGAACTATTAGGTAAGAAGGCTTCAGATTTATCCTTAAGTCAAGAACTTTTCGAGTTTCAATTATATGTGAAAGTCCTAAAAGAAGGTAAAGGAAAAGTAAAAGATTAGAGGGTCAAGTTAAAATATTTCATTACATTATTAACAAAAATGTTATTAGTATTATGGAGGTGTCTCAGCTCTTTCTCACAGATTAGATTGTCAATTGAGCATGGAAGGTGAGTTGTGTAGGGTTAAAACTATCCTTAAAAATTTTCTTTAGAGAAACAATCATCATCACACAGAACATAAAACCCAGCAAAGCTAGTATTTTATCCAGGGATGAAAGAATTCATTATTTCTTTGATTAAGTAACCTGACATAGGTTATAACATTTAAGTTTAGAGGTCATGTTATAATAAAGTATATATATTTTAAAACTGGATCTATACTCGATATGGTGAACAGTTATTTAAAAAACTGAGAGGGAAGTTAAATTCACTCTGAAGCTTAAGCTCACTGAATGGAACGGCAGGCAGAACCATCAGTGATCTATACTTTTCTCTTCCTGACCAAACCTATCAAGTGTAGCCAACCTTGAGCATGTTGTATAACACAGTTCAAGATTAAAGAAAAAGAAGAACTTACACTATCTTAAATTTACTGTTTATATTAGAACAGACAAAATCTGAGAAATCTAGTAGAAGCTCAGGAGCTCTGATGACATAGGGACTAAAAAAATTGGTGGCTGAAAGATTAATAGTTTGAATGTACCAGTCAATTCATGGAAAAAAGATAAAAGAATTTGATTCCTTAAACATTTACTGTCTAGAAAAACTCTATAGAGCAGTCCTATATTGTCCTTGAAAGCCACTATGAGTAAAAATTAACTCAACAGCAATGGTTTTGGCTTTAGTTTGGCTGAAACCTATGCAGGCATTTTAATACGTTACCTGTAGCTGTTCTCTCTTTAATTTCTTCCAGCTTCATCAATGTAGCTGATGTAATTTGCTCAAGATCTAATCCTTTGTTTGATTGAAAGAACTCAACCACTGCATTAATGGTTTTCTGTAAAGGGATTTTAAAATAAAACCAAAATAAAGACAGTACTTTCTACTTTATATATTTTCCATTTTTATCCCAATTATAAAATAATTGTAGCTTTGGACTATGATATACCTCTGATGAGATTATATTCTGGCTTATTGCCCCATGGAATAAAAGAAGAAAACCTGGAAGTAAACTCGCTTGCTGGATAGGTAAAAATTTTTCCATGTCACATGACCTAAAGTAGGTTCTACAGTGTAATTCTGCTGTAACAGTAGATAATACTTCTCATTTTGCTTTACAAGTAGTCAAAAAAGTAAAACTCGACTTGCCTATAATTGGATTTTTCTGCATGTTGAACTCTAGAAGGGGCACAGGAAGAAAAGTGTTCAGTACCTTCCTTATCCTCAAAACTTTAAAATGGAATTCCCTCTCTCTGAAGTCTTTATATAATGCCACCATCCATGCTCTAACCTCAATTCCATATTATAAAGCACAAATAAGTCAGAGATCTCAGGAACAGAGCAGGATGAATCTGCAAGTGGCACCAGGAGAAGTGAATTATGTTCAGCCTGCTGACGCTGAGCTAGCCTGAAGGGAAATCATAGATAGAAGCTTGGATTCCATAGTCAATAACAGCTAATTGTCACTTTGGGGTTTTTTCCTGACCAAAAGAGAATTTAAAATTGTTGGCAGATGTAGCATCCACTTCTTAAACAACATGCCTCCAGAAACTCTATGAACTTTGGGTAATGTTAACAGTTGTCAAGGGGCTTCAGGCCTTTTGTTCATAGGGTCGCTATGTGTCGTGCTCAACTCAAAGGCAGTCAACAACAACAAACAAAGGTATTTAAATTGGTTCCAAATGTTGAAAAAAGCAGAAGAAACAAAAAGGAAGTCAGTTTATGATTGTTTGAGAGAAGTAAGGACAAGAAAAATGGATAATTTTGTGCATGTACATTAGTTCTGTTTTCAATTTAAAATGATCATGGATACAACTTAGAGTAAAAAAAATCTATAGCATATGAAAAAACATTATACTAACCATGTAATACTTTTGAAACAAGAAAAAACAGTTGTAAACCAGTTGTTAAATAAACTACTACTAAAAAAAAAAGAGGGGAAATGGTAAGAAAACCATGTCAGAAGCAGAAGATGGAATAATAAGGATCTACTTTGTCTTGCACTTACAGCATCATAGATGACCTCCACAGGCTGAGACTGAACAACCAGCATCTGGTCAGCAGGGTTATTCTCTGGATTGGTTTCAAATTCAATTTTAAGCAAGGATGAGGCAGTATCACCAATTGAAGCCACAAGTGATGGTACAGTATTTTGCTGTTTCAGACCTGTTATATACCAGTGTTCTAATTTTGCTTCTACCCTATAATACCACAGTAGAGGGAAAGTAGTATAAATAAAACCATTTGAAGTATGAGTTAAGATATGAATTTTCCTGTAAAAATTCTGAAAGTCTTAAGATCATGGCTCAAGAATATCGTTCAAATTCTTTGGCCTTTGACTCAATTATTCTCACTATTTTGGTTCTGTTTCATTTAAGTAACTCTTCCTTACTGACATTAATACACACACACATGTACACACTCTTTAGTCAGCTACCAAACACTGTAAACATTCTGATCACTGTTACACGAGTACAGGCTGTACTTTACTTATGACACTTAACTCCTTCTTTCCATGCAACCTTGATCCCCTCCTGCTGCAACTGGAGTCTTTTCCAATGTTTAATAGCTAGCCTAAACCTCAATTATCTCATTCTAAATTATCTCTCATAACTAGGTGTGCACAATATTAACTATACAGTATTTGATTTCATAGAACTTCTCACCTAAGAGCTACTATGTTGATGTTGTTGTTGCTACAAGCTAACAATTTCAACTCCAGTAACCTCATGTTGTTGTTGTTGATTGCTGTCAAGTTGAGCATGACTCAACAACCCTATGAACAAAAGCCCTGAAGCCTTTCTATAACTATTGCCATTTATCAAAGTTCATAGAATTTCCAGAGGCATGTGGTTTAGGAAGTGGATGCCACTTCTGCTTCCAGTAATAACCTCATCTGAGAGAGAAAAATTGTTCCATAGTGTTTTCTAGACTGAAATAATTACAGAACAGCTCACCAGGCCTTTCTCTTATAGGCAACTCAGTGAGTTTAGATTGGCAGCCTTTTGATTAGGAGTCGATTAGGGTTTCTTCTAAAATATTATGCCATTGCTACATTACCATTTTGTTCATCTTCTTTCATCTAGCATAGCATAAACTTCTTGAAAGCATAAGCTTAATGTAATGTATACAGATTCATAGCATCAAGCTTATAAATGAAAACAATATACAATATAGATTCATGGAGGAACAAAAGGAGGATGGAACAAATAATGAGCTTCTCTTAACAGTTCCATAAAACAAAAACATGCTGAAAAGACTGATCATGGGCAAAGGGAAAATAAATTCCTACTAATCATGTATTTTTCTTACTTTTATCTGTTTTCTTTAATAAAAAATTATGTATTTTGTTGTTATGCACCAACTAGTTGGAATTGACCCATAGCTGACCCTCGAAGCTGGTTTTCAAAACCAGTAAATCACATCGGAAGAGACTGCCCATCTTTATCCTACGGAGTGGCTTCAGAACCAGAGCCAAATGTTTTTGATCTGTCAATGCCAAAAGTTTTTAAGCATTCCAAAGACAAACATTTCTTCTTTCAGGTGTAGCTCCTCATCTCCCCGCCCCTGGTTCCTTTAACTCCTCAAAAGCTTTAGTGTCTGTGCATTTGCCTGACTTCATTCAGCATAATGGTTTCAAGGTTCATTCACTGTTACACTATTAGATTTTACATGTTGTTGTTGTTATGTGCCGTCGAGTCGCTTGCGACTCTTAGCGACCCTATGTACAATAGCCCTAAACTCCGCTCTGTCCTGTGCCAATCGCACTGTCTCTGACACTACCATCCCAATTATCCCAGTCACTGAATCAATCCACCTCACAGAGGGCCTTCCTTTCCTGAGCTGTCCCTCCATCCTCCCAAGCATGATGTCCCTTCTCCAAGGACCAGTCTCTCCTCACAACATGTCCAAAGTATGTTAGACGGAGCCTCAGAATCCTTGCCTCCAAGGAGCCACCCGGTTTAGTAACACTCTCTATTTTTTTTTTTTCTTACTGAAAATAGTAAGTTTTTAAATACTTACTTAATAGCTTGTGCTCCTGGTCGCTGAGATATCTGAGTTCCTAGGCCAATTATCTGAATTTTTAGTATTTCTGGAATATTTTCTTTTTCTCTGATTGTAACGGAGGTGCTTACTAACTTTAGTGTCATTATATGAGCAACATACTAAAGAAGAAAAAAGGAAAATTATATTGGCATGTAAATATTTACAACTCTCTTTAATAAAATCTTTTCATTTCAATGTATCAGATTACAAAATTATCTAACAAACAGCCTAGTAGGTTCCAGTTTAATGTACTCCAGGTAAAGAATATTTTAAAATTTAATATGGCACTGTAGGCATAAATAAGACATTTACAAAATATTTCAAAGTAAAAAAAAATTAAAAAAATTTTAAAGTAACTTTTCTAGTTTCAAAGTCAGTAATAATGAAACAATAACAAAATACTTTTAGCATAAAGACTAAATTCAGTTTCCATTAAAGCAAAGTAATTCAGATCAACTCTGATTGAAAATAAGAAAATTTAACAAAAGAGAAACAGTATCTGTTGAATAGCAATGTTGTTGTTGTTGTTATTGTGTACCATCAAGTTGGAACCACCTCATAGCTGACCCTCCCGTGGGGTTTTAGAGGCAGTTAATGGCACAGGAGGAGACTGCCCATCCTTCTCCCATGGAGCAGCTGGTGGCCTCGAACCCCATGTCTCTGGGACTGCAGAGCAGCTTCTTACCACCAGGTCACCAGAGCTCCCTACTGAATAGCTTTGGGCACAATTAAAAAAATAATAAAATAAAATTTAAAAAAAAAATTAAAAAAAAAATCCTGGCCTTAAAATTGTTGGGTGTAGAGCAGAGGTAAGACAAAGCACCAGAGAGATAATTCTAGACTCTGGGATTGCATTTCTCATACAAGCATAAGAAACTTTGGAAGGGGGAAGCCTAGCAGCCATGCAACTAGGTTAGTAAGACAAAACTTGAATAAGTTCCAACAAAGGAAACCTACTTTTAAACCCTCTTACTTGTCTCTGACTCCAAAGATTTAAAATCTAGGTGTAAAGGTGAACTAAAATAGGCATTTTCCACACTCTGTTCCATAACCTCAAATAATCTCAATCCACAAAATAAAATAGAGCTGAGCCAAAATATTAATGGCACATATAACTCAAAAGGGAAACAAAATATTGCTCTAAGATAAGAAGGAAAATAATATTTCCCATTATTTCTAAAGATAAAAAAATCCTACATTTGCAAAAACAATATTCAACTTATACTCATGTACACAAATTAAGACCATAAGGACTCAAGACAAGTTAGAACAAAAGCCAGCATGAGGATGAAAAACAGACAAAAATCCCCAGGAACTCCAGATAGCAAGTTCTTAGACATAGATTTTAATTACTATGGTTATATTGCTAACTCAAAGGCCATGCATCTCTGGCTGACGAATTCACCATTAGAGAAAGATGGGCAATCTCTTCCCATGAAATTTACAGCACTAAAACCCTACTGGAGGGTCAGTCCCTTCTCAACAGGAATGAGAAACTGAAGTTCGAGTGGATAGAAGGTAAAACAGAAGATAAACTGAAAACAATAAAGAATCAAACGCAAATTCTAGAAATGAAAAATACAAAAAATAAGGCCACAATAAACATAATTAACATTAAAATATAAATCTTTATGTTTTAAGAGAATTAGTTAAATGGAATATATGAGCATGAATAAACAAAGATCTGATACAACATAGTGGGGGAAAAAATACAACTTTGCAAGTTCTCAGTTTCCAACTATTGAGTCTTGTTTTCAACTTTTAAATTCCAATCATCAGTTATTATTAATGCATCTTGACTGCATTTTCAGTCAAGTTCAAACTGTGAAAGTTGGTGAATTTCTCAGTCTTCCTTGTCTTTGGTTGTGGTGGTTGGTGTACATATGCAAAGAACAGGTGTCTTAACTAACAGGCTCTCCTCGTGTGTGTATGGAGAGCATGATGCCATGACTCACAGCACTGCACTGAAATATACAAATCATGACATGCTCTTTTTGGATATGAATGTCGGTCATTCTTCCTCAATTTTTAATTCCTTTATGACTCATTCAAAGTACCAAATAAAATCCACCAAAGCTCACTAATGGCTAGAATGTCAATCTTTAATTGCTTAATTTTGGTACTTAGAACTTTCAATTTACGTATGCTCATATTTCATACATTCCACATTCCAACTATTTGTGGATGTCTGCAACCTCTGAAACCCCACTGGAGAGTTACCAATGAGTCATTTTTAACGTGACTGCACACAAAAACATCAATATCTTATTTCATAAACAAAAGTTAATTCAATAGGCCTAAATATAAAACCCCAAACCAAAAAATTACCATTATCTTCTCTACAGACACATATAAAGACAGAAGAATATATTTCAGAGAGAAGATACAGGATGGTACAGAAAAATTAATGGAAAAGAGAATTACAGGGAGAAAGTTTAAAAAGTATGATTTCATTATAAGGGATTAAAATGATTAATACTAGAGAAATGTCTATGAATAGTTGAATGGAAAACAATTTGTTTTGTAAACCTTCATAATAAAAATTAAAAAGGGGGAAAATATTGTTTTGGTTTTGACACAGGCAAAGATGTCTTAAATAGGCACTGACCACCTTTAAAAAAAACAAAAAACAACTACACACTGGACAAAATGTATCAAAAAGTTAAAGAAATGGCATTGATGAATTATAATTAAAGTCTTTAAAAAGATACAGTGTTAAAAATTACCTAAAACACATAAAATAGAACAGAAATACCACCTACTCTTTGTGACAGTATTACAATCTTTACTAGGTTGAGCTATTGTTGCAATGCTTTGTCCCTTCATCTTGTTGACAGTCTTTCTCTTTTTCACTGACTCCTCATCTTCCCAAGCATAATGTAATCCAGACCATGATGATGTCCAAAGGACATGATCTGAAATCCTGGTACTGAACCTTCTAAAAAGCATTCTTGCTGACCATCCAAGATAGTCTGGTTTATTTCACAAGCAGTCCATTGTAGGGAGCTCCAGTAGCTTAGTAGTTAAGGAGTTCTACTGTCAATCCAAAGACACAGGGCTCGAATTAACCAGCTGTTTTGAAAGAGAAGATGGGCAATCTCCTTCTGTGCAACTTACTGACTCTGCAAACCTGCTGGTGGGTTAGCTATGAGTCAATTCCAATTCAGTGGTACCCAACATCAATCCAATGTGTAAAATCAATATTTTTTATCAACTAAATAATTCAAATTTGTCAATTCTTCTTCAGTTTTCCTATTTTATGACCCAGATTTCCCCTGTATATTAGGTAACTGATAATACCATGGCTTGGATCAGGTACATTTAGTCATTAAAGTACCATCTTGCTTGTTAAGTACTTTAAAGAGATTTCCTTGCACCACAATTGCCTGATGCCATGCATCATCTGATTACTTGACTGTTACTTGCACAGATACTAATTGCTAATCCCAAACTGAAAACCTTGTTGGATTCAATTTATTTGCCATTTCTTTATGCACTTTGAGGATATTTACTTGTCAAGATGTAAGGATGGATGGATAGATAGATAGATAGATAGATAGATAGATAGATAGATAGATAGATAGATGTATTAGATACATAGATACAAAGATACATAGATACATAGATAGATATTTTATTGTTGTGGTCTTTGATCATCAAGAAATGCTTGAAAAGTTTTCTTCACTTTCAACAAGCAAGGTTGTATCATCTACATAACACAGGTTGTTAAAGAGTCTTCCTCCAATCCTGATAGCACATTCTTCACAGAATACAGTACCTCCTATTTGCTCAGCATACAGACTGACTAGGTGTGGTGAAAGGATGCATCCTTTACACATTTAAATATTTTCTTATTTAAAACCACAAAGTATATTTCCAAGTTCCGTTTAAATGGCTGCCTCTTGTAAAATTTTCACAAGGTTATCTGTCATGATCCATACATTAAATCTCTTTGTATATTCAATAAAACACAAACACATCCATGTTTACTGTATTCTCTCCTTTCAGCCAAGATCTGGCATCAACAATGATATCCTTCATTTCACATCCTTTTGAATCCAGTTTTAATTTCTTGTTGTTCCCTGTGAATATTTTGCTGTAATTAATTTTTACCTAACCCCGTCAAAATGTTGCTTGCATGTGCCATTGATGAATTCAATAATTTCTGCATTTTGTTAAACCACCTTTCTTTGGAAAGGGATAAAGATGGATCTCTTCTTGTTATTTGTCCAGGTAGCTTTCTTTCAAATTTCTTAGCACAGACAAATGAGATTTTCACATTTTCTGTTTGCTGAAATAAAGTGATTGTTATTTAGCAAATTTCTGAAGACTTGTTCTTCACCTGATTGAGCAGCCTGGAATTATTCCCTCAATACCATCAGTTTTTTTATCACATACAGTACTTCATTACATGGTCAAACGTCAAACAATTCTTTTTTGTTACAGTGATAGTGTATTATTTTGAATATACTATAATTCAGAATTTTGTCTACTGAAACCTTCAGTATTGCAAGTCAAAGTTTAAATTTTTCTTAAATTCCTTCAATTTAAGGAATGTTAATGGTGTTCTTCCCTTCTCATGTTCTAACTCCAGGACTATGCTTATTTCAGGGAAATACTTTATCTCCTCAAGCTCAGGTCTTTGTTTCCATCATTTTTTTCTTTTGACTTACTATTCTAAGTTTCTGAAGCCCTTCTAGTATTTAGTTCTTTTCTTTCTTTCTGTCTCTTTAAATAATCTTTTGTTTCCTTCATTAGCAGTTCATTGATTTTTTTTCTCTCTATTACTACACAGCTTTACTTCATCCCCATCATGCCAAGAATTCAAAGGGAACAGGTTCCAGCAGCTCAGGCTCCTTCTCATTCGTTCTCACAGTGTGCCTCTTTGGATGGGCGGAGCTGGTTGGCACTTCAGCTGGACCCAAGTGCCTTTCTCCATGGCTTCCTCCTTTTTCTGAAAACCATGGAACACTTCATGAATTTGTTTATCATCTTTGTGCAGGGGCCATGATAATCTCTTCTGTATCATTCCAATTTTAGTGTATGTGCTGCCAAAGTCAGTACTGGTTTACTGATTTAATAACAAAACTTGTGTGATCTTTCATCACTATTGTTCAAT